TAATGCTAAATATGTACATGGAAATCACGATATATTTTAGCGGAATGTCGACGAGAACACTCTGATGCAAAAATTAATACAATGAGCTAAATCTTTTTTATCTAATTTTATTAAAGTTTACGAACAATGCAGTTGCAAATATCGCTGGATATTTCGACTGATGACAGGATTGACTCCTGGTCCAGGTATAATCAGGATCACATTCTTCAAGATCTAAAGGCAATTACTGAGCGGTTTTTTTTTTAAATCTTCGTTTAGAATAATTTTCAAGTTCTTTAATTCAGATCAAGTTCTTTAATTAGTCAATGTAAAAATTTTATTTTTTACTATATGAAAAAAAGATTAGATTAAGAATAACAAATTATGTAGATATATTTTGCTTTAAGTGATTATATCAAATTAACCAAATTTTAATTAAGAATTATAAGTTATCTTTATAATTCTGCAGTAGCATTGCTGCGATTAGATTGTAAAAAATTTCTTTCTTTCAGGAGGGAGAGGCAAAAATGGTTCTTATCATTGTTGTCTGGAACATGCTTGATATATGCCACCCGTACGTCTGTTCCCTTATTGATACCAGTCATTAGTGAAGAGAAGAATTGGTCAAAGTTTGATTCAGGTATAATACTATCAAGCTTTTTTTGGGGCTATACATTAACACAAGTGGCTAGTGGTTACATTAGTGACAGAATTGGTGGACAGAAGGTACTTTGGATATCTGCTCTTGGTTGGTCAGCAACAACTTTCTTTTTGCCAGAAATTATAGAATTTTTTTCTGATGACGGGACTACTGTCTTTCTCGTTGCAGCAGTAAGAATGATAAATGGAGCATTTCAAGGTAATTTTTGAATATCGGATATTGCAGCTGCACTGGAGCAATGGAGAATAATATAATACCTATCACTTATAGGAATGCATTTTCCTAGTACGATTAGTTTGATAAGCCAACGTTTGCATGAAGCAGAAAGAGCCTCCTTCTTCAGTTTGTTAACATCAGGATCTGCCCTAGGCACTTTACTCACAGCTTCTTTAGGTTCATATCTACTGGATAATTATAATTGGGCAACCGTCTTTCGAGTGTTGGGTACGACATAGTTTATCTAAATTGATATCAAATTGAAGAATCTCGAGAAGATAGTAATTCTAAGACATATACTGGTTTAACAGTTGAATTTGTATCTCTGTTTTGTTTTCTAGCAGAATAAAATAATCTTATGTTTGTGTTAATTTATTTAGGAAGCATGAGTTTGGCATGGACACTGTTTCTAAGCTATCATACTCTGTCTTTTAAGGGAAAAATGACTTCTACCAAAATGATTACTGGCTACACCTTGCCTTGGTCCAAACTCCTCTCAAAACCTCCTTTTTGGTAATTATAGCGCATGAAATGTAATATTTTTTATTTGAAGACTAGAAATATGGAGAGAAATTTTCACAGTTATGTGAACATTGTAATTCTTCTAGTTTCTAACAAATGCTTTAATTATATGTATATGTTGTGGTTTACATAAATGTTCGCATTTTGAATTTTTAATTGTGAAAATTGTACAAAATAATTATCGATATAATATGTAATGATTGATTATCCTCTGTATAATTATTAACTATAATTTTCTTCTGTGTAATTAAACAGGTCTTGTGTTATTGGACATGCTTGCCAAAATAATTGTTTCTTTGTATTACTTTCATGGATGTCCACATATTTCCACGACACATTTCCTGAAGCTAAGGTAATCTTACTATTTAATTTTTATTCAATGTTTTCAGACTTTCAGTTTTCTAGAAAAGAAAGAAAGAATTTAGTTTTCTAAGAGAAAAAGATTATATAAAAGCTGTTCTACAATAAAGATAGAAAAATATTTTAGATTAATAACTAAGAGAAAAAGCTAATAATAAAAAGCTAATTTGTAATAATAAATTGAAATAATGAGATTTTTCTATATCATATCAAATATTTTAATTAATAGGGTTGGATTGTGAATATGGTGCCATGGTTATCGATGCTACCTTGTACATTCTTAGGAAAAGCCCTGTCAGAAAAGATAATTAAGGCTGGCTATTCCGTAACTGTAACACGTAAAATAATTCAAACAATCTGTTTTGTCGTCGAGATTGGAAGTCTCTTATTCTTGAGTAATAATAAATATTTTTAATGTTTATATATAAAATCATTACATATATGTAGATTTATATTATATCTTTGCAGCAAAAGTGGAAAGTTTTCAAAGTGCAATATTCTGTCTCGCGTTAATTATCGGTGGTTCAGGTTTTCATAATAACGCAATTGCTGTAAATCCTTCGGATCTTGCACCAAAACATTCTGGCAGTGTATTCGGTCTAATGAATACCGTTGGCGCGATACCTGGTATGTAAATAATATAAATAATTGTACGAAGAGTTAATGTGTTTTTTTTATTTTCAGGTTTTCTCGGTGTATATTTTTCCGGACATATTTTACATGTAACGCACAGCTGGCCTGTTGTTTTTTTATTTATAGCTGTTATCGATGCGTTAGGATGTATAATGTATTTATTATTCGGCTCGGGTCAAGCAATTATATAAATTATAAAATGAAAATTGATTTTTCATTTTATCAAATTGCAAGCGCGTTTTAAAATCAACGATAGGCACAACCATCTAATATTTTTATGTTTCATGATAATATTGTTTTGAGGTGCTTTCCAGCAACAGGCACGGATATCTATATTACAACTAGATCACTAACTTCTCTAAAAAGTTATTTATGGCCGGATATTCCGATTTTAGCCATTTTTTAAGTCAAGTTAATGGGCAACAGAGAAAAGATAGTGTGTTAATGCATGTCCTGTTCATTTTATCACTACTTACTGTTAAAATAATGCAGAATCATTATAGCATAAAAAATTGCGGAAATAGTTGATCAAAAGAATTTCATTTGTTAGGTAGTCTAATATAGTTCTATAGTTGTTAATGTGACGATTTATCAAACTAATCGTACTAGAAATGCATTCCTGTAAGTGATAGGTGTTATATTATTCTCCATTGCTCCAGTGCAGTTCCAATATCCGATATTCAAAAATTACCTTGCTCCATTTATCATATCATTTGAAGATTATGTTTTAATAGTAAATTCTAAATATTTTAGATTTCCTCTAAAACGCGAAGATCATTTAAAAAAATGAATCAAGACTATTGGGCAGTCAGATTTTAAACCCACTAAAACTGACATATTGCACATATTTGTAGTGCACATTTTACTGCAAATAATTACATGGACAGGCCAGGTAAAAATGACATTTGCTTGAAATATCTTGCTGTACCCTCTATATTTCTAGAAAGTCCAGTGATTACTCCTAAAATTGCAAGCACACTTCAAGTTTACTTCAATTACATCTGCTTCACATTTGATTACATGGAAAAGTGTTTTAAAACCGAAGAAAGATCATTTGACAAATATTGATCCAATATCAATAATATTTAATAATGTGATGGATTGCAATACAGCTTCTAAAAGAATTACAAATTCACTTACATTAAAACGCTTGCAATTCCTCGCGGATCATGGATCGGCGTGTTTCGCGGGATAGCGTCCGTCGGGTGTGGTCAGGATTACTCAGAGAGAAATAAAACATAGAGGTGCTATTTTGTTATGTATACGTATTTATATTTTTAAAAGTAATCTGAACTTATTTACAGGTACTGACTGGGTTTTCTTATGTACAATATTTACAGTGTGTTTTCCGGAATTTAATCTTAAGTATAAATGTGTTCGTTGCTTCGCGAAAAGCTTTGCGGATTCCGAGAATTGTTACAATAGACACCGACGAGATACTATTAAAGACCAACGATCTTACTAGTTAGCGGGGCAGGAAAAATTCACTGTATGCTAACGTCCTCTTCGAAAAGTTGCGGTCAGAGTAGAAAACAAAATGAGAAATATATCGATAAGATATTATTAGACTCATAGTGAATACATTTCGCTTATCCCAAAATGTTATGAGTGTTAAAGAATTCGTACGGCACAGCAAATAATGTAAAAATTAATAAAGTAATAGTTTACAAGAAAATAAAAATAGATTAAAAAAAAATAACTATATAAATTATATATTATATTTATAAATGTCAAAATATATTTATATTAAATAAGAAAAAACATAAATACTTAAAAACAATACAATTTAAGAACTCCATATAATTAATAAATTAAAATAAAATTAACAAAGAATCGGAAAAATATAAGACGCTGGTCGAAATATTTTTTGTGATTAGAATTCTTACCAAAGCATTAGAATACATTCAGAAGTAGATTGAAAATATACGAAAAGTATATTGGACTATCAGATGTGCCGACATTTAAACAGCGTCTCATTTGGGCTGTATCTATTTATTTAAAAATCGTATATTTTTTTACATTATCGCCAATGTCTTGAACTCTTTAGAAAATCCTTTAATATGTTCAGAACTATACGAAAAGTATATTTGTTAAATCAAAACTTTGAGTTATTAGTCTGCGTTTCAGCTCAGTTTGTTTATTGCACTGATAATTAATTTCAACTTATTTAAAATTTTTTTGTTTTTATATGAGAGAACTTTTTATAGAATTCTTATAGAACTATAAATTTTTCAAAATCTTACATTTGCAAGCGTCGGAACTTATTGTTTAGGACAAAATGAGTCACAGCGTGAACCTGGCATCTCACTTTGTCCAAACCGATTTTTTTCGCTTTAATGCAAAAACTATTTGTTTAACCTACCAGGAACTGTAGAACTATTAAAAAGGAAGTCAGAACTTTCAATAATTTTTACGATTTTTTCCGCAAAATGAGACGCCAACTTTACACACACTTTTTTTTATTCTCATTGTCGGTAAGACTAAAATATTTATTATAATAGTATTATATATTAACTCTGAATCACTTAGTTATTAAAATATAATTAATTTGTTTGTTAAAACTATTGTTTGAAAAAGTATTTATTGATATTTGTTTTAAAAAGAAAAATAAAAAAACTATTAAAAACTATAATTTTAGTTAATATCTAAATATTATTAAAAGTACTAGAAATAATTTGTTTAATATAAGGGACATATTTAAATTAATTATTAATCATTAATTAAATAATATTAATTAAATAATAGTAATAATTATAATAATTAAATAAATTAAATAATAAATTAATTAAATTAACTAAATACTCAGGTAACAAGATGTCGTCAATATAATGTCTATTTTAAGTCATTTTAAGTCATTAATATCATCAAATTCATTTATAAAAGACGTCAAAAAGCAACACATAATGACGTCTATAAGTGACAGATCGATGATGTGATACTTATGACGACAAAATAACGGTTACGTTTCGATATTGACTGCTAGTACTAAAAATCTATAATATACGTGACATCTTTTACGAAAAATAAATTAAAAAATAGAAAAAAATAGAAAGTAGCTAAAAACAATCTTTTATCTTCTATTGCCGCATGTTTCTAAAACGGCCCATCCATCCTTACTTGGGATGCTGCATATGGGATGAAACCTGCTACTGAAATGATGATATAAGTGAATATGGGATCTTGACATAAAATATGATAGATCTGTTAATGAATGTTACTATGTTGTATAAATAGTCTCAATTTTAAAATCTCGATTACATATGTAATTTTTGTAGATAATTTAATTATATAGAGCCGTGAATTTATATTATTTTTAATAAGAATATTTTAATAAGAATTGTTTTTATAAAAATTGTTTATAAATTATTGTATATATTTTATTTATTTGTTTATGAATTTGTTAATAATTGTATGTTAAATATAGGAAATAGTTTTCTTATTTATATATTATAATTAATTAAGAAAGACAGTAAATAATAATGTTATTTCATTTATTCATTAAAAATGACTTAAAAATAATGAAGATATATTTATGATGATAATATTTCGTGACAAATGTTATGTTTATTTTACATCATTATTTGGTATACTGACGTAGAATGACGAAAAATGATCTTAAATCATCATCAGAATGGCATCATCTTGCTATTTGAGTAATTACTTTAAATTAAATAATTAATTAAAAACAAACATTCAGCGGATTTTTATATTTACATATCTGTACAATATATATCATAATAATTTTACAGAAATATGTAAAAGTTTTGAAAGTAGATTGATAATAATGTCGCACGTCGTCAATTCGGCAACTTAAAGTCCAACATAATATTGCTAGTTTTGCTGTAAGCTCAAGAGAGAAAACAGAACATCTCGTATATCCTTTTTTACCATTCGAAGCTAATGCCTGTCGGCTAGCCAGTAGTCGTGTTTACGCAGCGTTACGCCGTGCAGAATACACGAACATGGGCTCATGCTTCAATGTGTGTCAGCATACACTGAACCGTGAGCCTATATCCGTGTACGTTGCATAGTGTCAATTTCGACTACCCTCGGACGGTAGAAAAGAATAGGACTATCCTATTATCGTACTCTCTCGTGTTTGACGTGCTGCGAGAAGAGGATAGAGATACTATCGTACTCTCTCGCGCTTGACGTGCTGCGAGAAGAGGATAGAGATACTATCGTACTCTCTCCTTCGATGCACTGTACGATGTTCGGCATCTCCGTCTCGGTTACCGCTCGCTATTGTTGACATATAGCGTATCCATTGAAAAAAAATAAACAGTGTTAATAATATGAATGAATTGATAATATGAAATTAATATTACAAAAATCTTTATAGATGATTATTATATTTTACATATAATATTTATTACACTAAGGATATATAACTTTATATATAAAAATTATAAACAATATAATAAATAAGAATACATATAAAATTATTTTCTTAATACGATTGCGTATATTTCATTATTTTGTAACGGCAGGGCCGTTACTTGTAAGGAAAAAATATATATATATACACCTGGCTTATTTATCCTACGCTGCCTATCCTTCTTGCACGCACACCGCTCGCGCTATTCCACTCGCTTGCCTGTATACCGCACGCACCGTCTCGCTCACGCTATCACTCATGGTACCCCACGCGATACCGCGACTCCCCGAACCTACGGCGCACAGTGGAGAACGCCGGCCGGGTATATAAGCCCAGCCGGCCGAGACATTGGGACCAGATCCCATCCGACTCCTGACACTCCTGACACTGACCTGACCAGTACCTACTACCTCTCGGGGCCAAGGTTTCGCTTGGTTCTGCCGGGTTTTATCGGCTTTCTCTACCTTCGGGCTGAGGTTTCACTCAGCTCTGTCGGGTTCGCCGACTCCTGTCACCGCTCCTCGGGCTGAGGTTTCACTCAGCTCTGTCGGGTTTCGCCGACTCCTGTCACCGATCCGCGAGCTGAGGTTTCGCTCAGCTCCACCGGGTTTCGCCGATTTCTGTTGTGAAGGCAGGGCTCGACGTGGCACTCAGCCCTGCCCGCAATACCTAGACGTCCTGCCTGACATTAGCTCGTAAGTGCATACGAGTAAGGCTGCTAATTATAAGTCGGTAATTCAACGATCTTTAGTTGTAACCGCGCCGTAATGATTAAGCCGTCATCGATCGCACGCCGCACCTGTCTAGCGCTTTGCGTCAACCGCTTTGCGTCAACTGCTTTGCGTCTCCGCTTTGCGTCTCCGCTTTGCATCTCACCTCCTGCTACTGCCAACTACATTGCGACATTTCCTGGCCCTGCACGCTGTATCTATCTTTCGCTAAATAAACTATCTTTTTCACGTCAATCTGTGTTCTCGTAAGCTTGAGTCTCCCCTCCTCTCGAATCCGAACACCGACGAGCCGATCCGAGCGTCGAGCGAGGTGACCGGGTCACAATTTTCTTAAAAATTCGAAATAAATTAAAAGTTTACTGTGTTTTAGTTAATAATAATTACAATGTCGACGAGATTGTTGCACGACATATAAAATAATCAATTTGATGTATTACGTTTTTTTTATTTAGTATAAGCGAAAATATACATTGGACTTTGAATACTTAAATGAGAAGCTCTTAAATTGTTAAAAATTATCATTATTTTACAAAAATTAAACTATCTTGAGGAAAAAATAGCAGGATTTTTATTAAAAAATATATAAAAACTTAAATCTATTGGTACATTGATTGCATTAAGAATGTATTACATTCATTCTAATTTACATTTTTCTAATTCTTACATTCACAGTAAAAACATTATGAAAAACTTATAGATTTATCTAATTGCATTTCAAAATAATACAAGAAATTTAGCAAGGTTTACAACCTGAAAAAAATTATCTAAATAGATAAATAAAACCGTGCTCTAATCGAAATGTAATTAAGAAATAATAAAGAAAATCTCAATTCTTTTTATAATAACTATTTAAGATTTTTTATGTAAACTTTTATACAAAAATTAGTTGTTCTATAGAGAAAAACTTTATTTAATTTGTATCACCACTCTTTTGTTTGTACTCTTAACCCGAGAATAGTCACCTCATTTTTTTGCGTAAACGGTCATATCAATTGGGATGTTTTTTACACCCCCAATTAAAAATCATTGTTATTACCTATTGTAATTATAGATTATTCTATAACTTATTAATATCTAAAGATATTATGGATATAGGTTTAATCAACATTTTATGTATGAAAAAAGTAAGAGAAAATCAAGAAAATAATAAACAAACGAAAGAAGGACATTAAGTAGCTGTGATGTGATTTCATTTTTTTGACGATGGGGTAAAGAAAATATTCCAGGTGACTATTCTCAGATTAATAAAAATTTAAGTTAGCAGAATAATTAATTTTCGCATCACGAAAAAATTTACATAAATCTTTTGAATTCTTAAACTTACTTATATAAAAAAAGTCGTAATTTTTATCAGTACTTTTTAATTACATTTTGATTGAACATTTTTATTTTATATTTAAATAATTTTAAATTCAAGTTTCTAAACCATCGTAAAATTTTTTGTAATTATTTTTAAATGTGATTTAGGATAATCTCATAATTTTTCATTGTAAATAAAAATACTCCTTAGATTTTCATGCTATAAATATGTATTATTAAATCTTCATTAAATTTTCTCAAT